TTTTTTTTAATGAAAAAAGAAAAGGAGAAGATCGAGCTTCGATCGGTTCGCGACGATCGGTATATTTACATTAATCTCGGCCATCGGGTACACTTCTTCATATCTCTTTGTGATTCTGCATTTTTTTCGTATACTATACTTCTCTCTTTTTTTAAATTTTTTGTTCCCTCCCTTTACTTCGTCACCATAAGTATTTTATTATTATTTTTTTTAATAAAAGAAAATTGATTCGCGATGATCGGTATATTTATATTAATCTCGGCCGCATCATCAGATACATTCACATTTCTGCATTTTTTTCGCATACTACTTCCTTATTTTTTCTTTTTCTTTTTTTAATTTTTGGTTCCCTCCATCATCAGTATTTTTATTAATATTTTTTTTTAATGAAAAAAGAAAAGGAGAAGATCGAGCTTCGATCGGTTCGCGATGATCGGTATATTTACATTAATCTCGTCATCAGGTACATTTCTTCACACCTCTTTGTGAGTCTGCATTTTTTTCGTATACTATACTTCTCTCTCTTTTTTAATTTTTTGTTCCCTTCCTTTACTTCGCCACCGAATAAGTATTTTATTATTATTTTTTTTAATAAAAAAGAAAAGAAGATCGAGCTTCGATTGGTTCGCGATACTTCCTTATTTTTTTTTTTAATTTTGTTGTTTCGTCCCTTTATCTCACTACCATAAGTATTTATTATTATTATTATTATTTTTTTTTTTTAATAAAAAAAAAAGAAGAAGATCGTGCTTCGATCGGTATATTTATATTAATCTCGGCCGCGTCATCATGTATATTTCTTCACACTTTTTGTAAATCCGCATTTTTTTCGTATACTATATTTCTCTCTTTTTCTTAATTTTTTATTCCCTCTCTTTACTTCGGCATAAGTACTTTATTATTATTTTTTTTAATGAAAAAGAAAAGAAGAAGATCGAACTTCGATTGGTTCCTTCGATACTTCCTTATTTTTCTTTTTTTTTTTAATTTTGTTATTTCGTCCCTTTATCTCACTACCATAAGTATTTTATTATTATTATTATTTTTAATAAAAAAGAAAAGAAGAAGAAGATCGAGCTTCGATCGGTTCGCGACGATCGGTATATTTATATTAATCTCGTCCGCATCATCAAATACATTCACATTTCTATATTCTTTTTCGCATATTATCCTTCCTTATTTTTTCTTTTCTTTTTTTAATTTTTGGTTCCCTCCACCATAAGTATTTTATTATTATTTTTTTTAATAAAAAAGAAAAGAAGATCGAGCTTCGATTGGTTCGCGATACTTCCTTACTTTTTCTTTTTTTAATTTTTGGTTCCCTCCACCATAAGTATTTTATTATTATTTTTTTTAATAAAAAAGAAAAGAAGATCGAGCTTCGATTGGTTCGCGATACTTCCTTACTTTTTCTTTTTTTAATTTTTGGTTCCCTCCACCATGAGTATTTTTATTATTATTTTTTTTTTAATAAAAAAAAGGAAAGAAAGAGATCGAGCTTCGATCGGTTCGCGACGATATTTATATTAATCTCGGCCGTGTTCACTCTCACCGCTGCTACTATCGCGCGCGGTAGTACCACTTTGTTAATTCAAGCTGCGAAGCTGTGAAATTTTCATCCCGCTTCCCACACATCCAGTCGGGAAAATATTTCCCGATTTTGATTCAATAAAGGAAGGAAAGTGTCTGCAGTTGTATTCGTACAAATTGATATGAATTACGAAACGTACTAATTGTAACGCGGCCTCGGAGGGAGGATAATTTTGTTAAAACTTAATAACCGTTACCAATGACGAAGTTTATCGATGAAACAATTATCGTAATGAAGTATACCGTGAACAATAACGGCCGATTTGCAAAATTCAACGATCTCCGGCCAACGATTATAATAAAATGGGAACGAGTTTCGACGGAGGGGAGGGGGGGAGGAGGGAGGGGTTGCTTAAAAACACCGCGGCAAATAATTAATCACGGATGGCAATTAATTATGATTTATAATTAATCGGACGATTGAAAAATTCAACTCCGCCGATTCTTTATTAACGTCGTATCGTATTCGAAATACGAGCAACAGTTTTCATTTTGACACTTTAATTATTGATACATTCTATATTCCGATATGTATATATATATATACATCCAAGTAATTGTACATACGTTTAAATACCGTATGACGTTAACGTCTGTTAATTATTAACGAATCAACGAAATACATTTTATAACGAGAGAGAGAACGAAGAAGAAACGAGATCGTACGTCGAAAAGTATTTTTTTTTTTTTTTTTTCTATAAGAAGAAACGCGCAGTATCAATAGAATTCTTCAAAAGCTTAAAGAAAAAAGTAACGTGGCCCAGAAGATGCAGGGCAGAAAACGGCATCGAGTCCGCCCCATTAATTCAATCGCAATTTGCTGCTTGTCGTATCGGGGTTTTTATGCTAATACAAACAATCTGAGGCCGATGAGTGGATGATGGGACGGCGGTAGGGTGAAGCCGACTCCGATGCTCACCGACCCGGAATGATCTTCTCGAAACGTAGGGGCGTTGCTCGTGTATTATCTCGCCATTGGGACGATTCGTAACGCACGCAGGGCGTAACGCGATCAATTTCGACGCGACAATTTCCTTTTTTATTTCCTTCCAATATTTCCCCTTGATCACCTTAAAACTCGAAAGAAATCGTATTTGTAATAATTTCAACGATCCGTCGTTGAATCAATCCGTTGATGAAACTTCGGATTTTCTTTTTTTTTTATTTATTCGCAAAAATTTAAAAAATTGCAACATTACGATTCTTAATATCCTCCCTGTATTCTGTTGCGTATCTGTATCCATTAGCCGCCCATTAAATATTTCCACGAGAAGAGGAAAGCACGATCGAGATATAACGTGTATATCGAAGGAAAACACTTTTTTTTATAATATTCCCCTTGATTCGTTAATCCCAATTCCATATATAAAATCATCCTCCTCCCCTCCCTTCGATCCATAGTTATCAACCGCTGTCCTACGCGTACAATTCGCCGTTTCTGGCTTCCCGCAGTGCGGTGGCACGGGCGCCCTTCTCTCGCTTACATCTCCCTCCCCTCCTATAACCATACACAGATGGTCAAACAGCAAGTGTCCCATAAAGTCTCGCCGTTTTTACACACGGGGAGGTTGACTTCGGTTTCAATAATTCGACGGTGTTCCTAACCGATTCCAACGGGTAAATTTCGCGTCGTCATTGGCGCAAACATTGGAAAAACACTGGACTGGAAGAGCGCGCCCTCTTCTTTTTCTCTTTGGGTTCGAGAGAGAGAGAGAGGGAGGGAGAAGGGAGAGATGGATAGATAGATAGAGACTAACCCTAGCGTCGTGTCAGCGTAATGATGAAATATTGCGGGGGTCTCTGGGGCCCAACCGTATATATACGCCCCTGGGCTAGTCCCTGCCTCGCTACGTATTCGCCTACCGCCATCCTCTTCCAACCCCTTTCCTTCCCTTTCGCACCGCCACCCGCAACTCCCCTGCATTTCTGATGTAACTATGCTATTCCGGGCCACCCCTGGACCGAAACCGTGCCATCCAGTTAGCTCGCTACGGTGCATATTCTCGTGAGAATAAATGTTTCGTACACACGAGCACGTACGTGTGTTCTCATACGCATACGCGTCACGCCCTGTGTGTATATATATATATATATATATATATATATATGTATAGAGTGTCACGTACATAGTGTAGGAGTATCGTGTTCGTCGAAGCGTCTCGATCGTCACATTAGGCGTTACACTCTTTTCTTTTATATATATATATATATATATTTTTTTTTTTTGGTAGAATTTTGGTGGATAAGAGAGAGAGAGGGAGGGAGAAAACGAGAGGAAGTACCTGAGCGCGTTGCGCCACTCTCTTAGGAGGAAAAATATGAAGGGAGCTCATAAATAATTTGCAAGGGGTCGCGCACACACTGTGCTCGCTACCACGACCACGCCACGTGCAGCATAATTGTGCGTGCTAGTTTGTACACGTTTCCTCTTCGTCATCCCACCCCCTCCCCACTTTCATTCATTCCTCCGTTTTAACAACGTTGCAATTGGTGCAATCGCTCGACCACGTTACAATTACGATTTCCGCTCGAAGATCTCGATTCTTTTTCCAAGATATCCTAATATTTCGTATAAGAAGGAGGCGTAATTATATTCCGTTACGATTCTCTCGACTTTTCCTTTTCTCGAGGAATTATTTAATTATCAACACGACTACGTGTTCCGTTCACCCCGAAAAAGCGATTAAATCTTGTTGCTTCTAGTTATCGAAAAAAAGAAGAAGAAAATTCCGCGACGAGTGAGAGAGAAAAAAAACGTGTAACCTGTACGTTGCAGATGAGCCATCCGGGGATGG